CACAAACGCCAGATCACCATGGTGACTAGAAATTGCATCCTGGCGCTTGGGTTCATACATTGCCTCCCATTGACTTGAATGGAAAATTGCACCCCGTAGACTTGAATGGGAAATTGCACCTCATAGACTTGAATGGGAAATCTCGCCCCATAGACTAGAATCGGAAATTGAGCCCCATAGACTTCAATAGGAAAATCACACCCCATAGACTTCAATAGGAAAACACGCCCCATAGACTTCAATGGGAAAACGCCTCCCATAGACTTAAGTGCACAAACGCCTCCCATAGATTTCAGTGCACAAACACCTCCCAATAGACTTCAATGTGAAAACACCTGTCAAAAGCAAAACACTTATCTCCGCATGCCACTCTACTCTATCACTTCCAAGTCTGGAATGCACTGCTACAAACTTGCACAGGACTCTTTTCATAATGGCACTCAAAACACAATGCATGTGGATCGCATCTGTGTGAACCACTTCAATAGGAACACACAATATCTAGCCTGTCATACAAATCTATGTGTTTCAAAATGAATCCAGAGTCGCATGTTTGTGAACCAGAGCAGCTCCATTCACACCTGGGCACTTTGGGTTCACAGCAGATGGCAAAATGCAGATTCAGGTTGCATTATTTTCAATGGTGCCTAAAACTGACAATGTTACGCTGCAAGAAAACTGGCTCCTAACTTTTTTAGCTGACTCCTAGATTTAAAGCAAATTTGTCAAGCCCCATATGCCCCCGACTTCTTCTCCCTCTTACCTACGGAGCTACACTTGGAGAAATTTGGAAGCCAGATTATGAAGGCTTCATTAAGATACTGTAACAGTGTATACATACTCCTCACTTAATGACCGAGTTCCGGTCCAACGACTAGGTTGTTAAGTGAGGAACTGTATACAGTATTTACATTACAAAATTCTGAATAATAGAAAAAGGTCAAAAAGAAACTCCAACTTTATGACTTTATTTTTATTTGTGTAAAACTCTTACATAGATTACTGTAAAGTATTACTGAACATCAAACTACAGTAATGTACAGCACAATTGTTCTGTATGAGAGAACCGTTCATAAGTCCGAACAGCCATTAAACAGGTAGGTCTTTAGGTGATTAGAGTCTGTATATAGATTTATTCTTTCATCTTTACACATCAATTCAAATAATCTCACAAATGAAAAAAGTCTTTATATTTTAATAAAAAAACAAGAAAATTGCAAATTTGCAAAAACACCATCATCCCACAAATAACTCACTTTGTAAAAATACAATTTTAATATCATGGAAAACATAACACATCACAGAATAAAATGTGCCCTTTTTATCTACAGTAAAACTAGTTTATATAACTTAACTATATAACTGTTGACCCAGAAATAAACTTTTTTTTTGTTACACATTTTGCTCTATAGATTGTATAGAAGATATAGTGAATTTTCTATTGCATTTTTTAAATGAATTTATTATATACATATATATTGATGAATAGCATTTATAGAATTATATAGAAAATTATAGAATTATAGAAAACCCTAAGTTCTGCTCAGATAGTTGCAGTGCTAGAATACAGGGCCTTCCCCCTCACAGTACCTATCCATTTTATATCACTGGTCAGTAAGAGTCAGTATATATATATATATATATATATATATATATATATATATATATTTATATATATATAGACAGGATATAGCAACTCATATATACCCTCCTTGTGGTCATTACTGAGAGGCTCTTTAAGCCAGCCCCTCTGGAATTTCCCCCTGCTCTAAAGGCTTTTGAAGGAAGGCCTTGGAGACAGTGGGTAGATCTGAGGAGTGGCTGGCTGCACTCTTGAGGGAGCTCAGCCAATCCCAGAACAGAAGGCTTTGCAAGAGACTGGGATTCCCTTAAAAGTGTTGGAGCCTGCTCAGTATGGAGAGTTGGAGGGTGGAGTGTGGAGAGGAAGATGTGAGGCTGAGGAAGAAGGCTGCCAGGAGACCAAGTGGGATGGGGCCTGCCTGTGAGCTTGGATCTGGAAAGGAGGAAAAAATTGGACCCCCTGAGTGAGGACCACCTGTATGGCAGGGATGGAGCGGCCCAGCTGATAGGCCTGGTAGCAGCAGGCAGCCCACAAGAGGTACAGGAGAGCATCTGAGTGAGTACACCTGCACCCTCTGGGTGGATAGAGAAAGGAGCACTCTGGTGGGAAACCAGATTAGCCCCCTACTAGTGACTGTTCATCCATTTAAAGGGACAGGGACCAGATCCCCTGCTCAGGAAAATCTCCAGATTGCTGGATGAAGAGGAGAATTTCATCTAGGGTCTGGGGTGGTACATCAAAGAGATGCTGGCTAGCTCTCCAACAGAGATTGTGTTGCAGAAGAGAAGCTTGTGAATAGTTACAGGAAGTTTGTCCTCAGATATTGGTTCCCTTGGGCATCCTATACCCCCATTTGCCCTATCCCAGTTCTCAATCTTCTCAATAAACAACAAAACAAAAGTTCAAGGACTGATTTCTGACTTCGAATGCAAGCTTGTTTGGAGAATGTAGATTGCTGTGCAGGACTATAGGGGGACCCAAATTACTTATACATATCGTATGCTACATACAGTACAAATAATATAAATGAAGAATGTATGCAACTTTGGCACCACTGTTAATATTATAATCTCATGTGGCCTTTTCATGGGGCTCAGCTTTTAGAACAAGTTACTCATTCTAGGCCACTAGCCCTGAGAGTATTCCCCCAGAAGGTGCCACATGTATATTCTTCTAAAATGTATAAGTGTGAAGCTGCCAGTGCAATAAATGTAGTTTGTGCACGTTGTAATATGCCATGGCCAGAGGCAGCCAGTGGGCTTAGTCTTAGTTTCCAATCAGACTCATGGTGATGCAAGGCCAACTATCATGCCACTAATCCTGCCACATAGACACAAATCACTTATGTGAGGGACATAGACAGCAGTAAAAACCTGACAAGGTTCTAAACATTGCTACTTGCATTGTCTGTGAAAAGTGATTTGCGGTGGAGAGAGACAAGGAGGCAGACCACAGGCATTCAGGAGGTGATAGTGCTGCCTTCAAAATGCCTGTTTTTTTTTTTTTACAACCAAATGGGCTTTTTTCATAGGATTACAATGCCACAACTAAAAGCTTAGCTTTGGCTCACAGTGGTGGTGCTGCTGCCTAAGCAGGATTGGGGGCCTTAGTGTCTTCAATTTTAAAAAATGCCCTTCACTTCATGTTCTTTGTCACAGGACCCAGAAAAAAAAATTAAATCTCTCCAAAGGAAAGCAGTAAACATATGCCTAGAGTTGGGTTTCTAAAAGTCATCCCCATGTTTTACTGGAAAACTTCCCTTTGGCCTGTTGTGGTCTTATTTTTGACTGTTGATGTATACCATACAAATCATGTTTATAAATATTATTTGCACTATTATAACGTTATGAACAGAAAAAATGTTCAATGTTAGATATTTCAAAATGTAATTGTCCTTATTAATAACACATTCACTTAAATATTTAAAATGTTCCTAAAACTTATGCCCATGCAGACCACTTTTGAAATGATTCATTGGCTATAATTATCATCTGCTGTATAATAAAGTATGTAAAGCCAGCCCAGAGTCCTCCTAAACACCAACTGTGGACTGGCTTTTAATTACACTGATACAATTATAAATTTAATGATGCACAAAACATAGCACAAATAAAAGTACTAGCAGGATAGGGGATAGTTTTTTGGCAGAAAAAATGACCAGAAGCAAAGGAAATTACTTGATAAACACGTGTTACAAGTGGGGAATTTCACTAAAATTAATAAATAAAACATTTTTTTAGCCACCTGACCTCCAGAAGGTTTTACCCCTTCATGACCAGGGCATTTTTTCTATTCTGCAGTGTGCTACTGTAACTGACAATTGCTCAGTCATGCAAGACTGCACCCAAATGAAATTTATATCATCTTCTCACACAAATAGAGCTTTCTTTTGGTGGTATTTGATCACCACTGGCTTTTTAAATGAAAAAAAAGACTGACAATTTTGAAAAAAAAAAAACACATTTTTGTTAGTTCCTGTTTTTTTGCAAATAAATAACCACACCAGTGTATATTTTTTTAGTCTGTGTGACAGTATGTAAAAAAAAAAAAGTATTCCATTTTTTTTACTTTTTTTTAATTTTCCTAACATTTTTTTTAACTATTTTTTTTACTTTCATCATTAGATCATTACTAGTGGTGCACCAAAATTAAAATTCTGGTGCCAAAACTGAAATTTCAGGATGCACTTGGCTGAAAACCGAAACTGAAACTGAAATGGACAGTTTTTAAAAATTAATATATATTTTTTGGAAACAAATACACTTTAATGATTAAAAAAAAAACAACACAATATATACCCGAAATGTTTTTGTAAAATATGAAAGATGATGTTATGTCGAGCAAATAGATACCCAACATGTCATGCTTTAAAATTGTGCACGTTCATGGAATGTCGTCAAACTATGGTACTTAAAAATCTCCATGGGTGACGCTTTAAAATTTTCTTCAGGTTACCAGTGTAAAGTTACAGAGGAGGTCTAGTACTATAATTATTGCTCTGACGTTTGTGGTGATACTTCACATGTGTGGTTTGAACACCGTTTACATATGTGAGCGTGGCCTAAATATGCTTTCACCATTATGTGCGAGCACAGGGGGCGGGGTCACTTTGAACTTTAATTTCTTAACTTATTAAATCTCTTTTTTTACACTGTCCCTTTAAAAAAAATTGTAATCACTGTTATTCCTATCACAAGAAATGCATGCATCCCTTGTGATAGAAATAAGTAGTGACAGGTCCTCTTTATGGAGAGATATGGGGTCAATAAGACCCCATCGGATGTCGGCTCCCCTGATGACACCTGAAGGGCACTAAGAGAAACATAGGTTCCCTCTATCTGCCACTCTCCCTATGTGGCGGCCACCTTTGCAGAGAGGCCAAACTACCCCTGCCTACAATCTGATTGGTTCCTTATACTGCTTTTTCCTGTCCTACTCCAGCCAGGGGCAGACTGACAACTCATGGGGCCCCCAGGCAATAGGGGATCATGGGGCCCCTGTATCCTTGCCCAAACTCAGAAAAGCCTATGAAAAAGGTACCAGGAGCATCTCATGGGGCCCCCTACTGACCCTGGGCCCTTGGGCAGTGCCAGAGTTTCCAAATGATCAGTCCGCCCCTGACTCCAGCCCTGCTGTACAGAGACTGGGGGACAATGATACCTGGTCATTTTTAGGTAATTATACTACTTGCACAAGAACTGGATCAATATGTGTCTTTTATATGTGCCTAGAGATCAGACTTACAGAAATACTGTCACCAAATTTACAAATTTCAGTTAAAAAAAAAAAAAAAATATTGAATTTGCTTACTTGCAGTGCTTTTCCTCTCCATAAAGTATTTGTGTTACCCTGCAATGAGCCTTTGAACTTGAAGCTAGAAATTTTGACTAATCCAAAAGAGTCAGGTTTCCAGCACAGGCCTCTCCCTCCTTATACGTCATAGCCTACTTCTCTTCTGGAAGTGTCTAATTACTGTCTGTGCTGGTCCAGCTCTTCCATCCCCTCTCACACCTCTGTGTATAATTTTTTAGATAGTTGTTGAAACAAAGGATCATAGATCATTTACAGCTCTAATCCTACCGGGGCTGCTGACATCTTGTCTAGGTTGGAGGCACCTGGCGGCGTTGTCAGAGCTTTTGAATGTCTACAACCCAGACAGGTTTTACAGATAAATAACATACATACAATATATTGCACATATAATCCAACTGGAAAATTTTTCATGAAATAAATGATGTTGGGACAGAAAAGGAGGTGAAGGGAAATCCTGCAATGGAGTCACCTCTCGTGTTGACAGCTGTCCAACAGTGGAATTCATCCCACAATGAAGAGATTTCTTCACTTCCTTTTGTGTCCCAAGATCATTTATTTCATGGAAAATTTTCCAGTTGGATTATATGTGCAATATATTGTATGCATGTTATTTATCAGGAAGTAAAAAAAAACTCCTATACGGAACTTAAAAAAAATTGAATAGGGGTTTTATTACTTCCCTATGCTATCAAAAACTAAAAGTTGTGACTTTAGCTATGCTATAAGAAAAATGTACCACAGTGGTGGGCATCATAAGTACTAGTATGTGCCAAGAACTATATCAGGGCTATAACCAGCTCAATCCCAATGTAACATCCCAGGATAAAGGTTGAATGAGAGTCAGGCTATTTAGGCATACCGGAGCAGTACATTTATTGATTGGAGGTATGTAAATATATTGATTGATTGGGACTGTGTGTAGATTAATTGTTTAAGCAATGTCTCAATTAAATGAATGAGGTAGTATATGTTCTAACCGATTGGGTTAAAGTATGTATCCACTGATTGATTGGAGTGACGTAGATAGTAATTAATTGGTGGATCCAGGTATTTATCATTTAACTAAAGTAATTACTTGGAGTAGGGTAAAATGTAATCAAATAGATAAGTACATGTTTTAATTAATTGGGCAGCACATGTACTAACTAGTAGGCTTAATTAGATAGGGTATTTGTCTGCTTACACCAGCTTCCCAATAACAAATACATGCTGTTTGCACTGGCTGCAAACACTAAGGGGTTTATTTACTAAAGCTGGAGAGTGCAAAATCAGTCCCACTTCTGCATAGAAACCAATCAGCTTCTAACCTCAGATTGTTGAAGTAAGCTTTGGCAATAAAACCTGGACCTGATTGGTTTATATGCAGAAGTGAGCCTGATTTTGCACTCTCCAGCTTTAATAAATAAGCCCCTAAGGGTCCATGCACGCTGGCTTAAAAAAAACCCACCAGTGCTCTTGGCAGAAATAAATGCTAGTTTTGAGCGTTTTTTTGTACTAGTGTTTAGGAGCGTTTAATAGTGTTTAGGAGAGTTTAGCAGAAAACCGCTCTCGAAAATGCAAAACAGAGGGTTTTTTCCTGCCTGTAAATGCTGAGCTTAAAATATGCCTCTAAACATGCTAAGGTGTATGGACACATAAGATAACATTATCTGCTTCTACAGACAAAACGCTAAACTCCTCTTGGAGCAATGTTCTTTTAAGCCAGTGTGTATGACCCATAAGCCGATCATAGATTAAGCAATTTTTTTCCTGCAACCACGAGTTACAGGAGGAAAAACGCTCAATTCCCCCATCAACACAGTCAGTGTTGATGGGGGAAACCTGCCCGCAGAACCCTTGGGTTCTTTCAACCGACGGGGCATCCCCGCCTAGAGAACACAATGATTACTGCTAGTGCTATATTAGCCTCTAGCAATAATGGCATGTAAAACCCAACAAGCTGGTTGTACCGAAGCTGATCGATTGATCAACTTGACTACATTCAGCCTGCCCATACATGGTTCAAAACTCGGCTGGTCCATGGTGAACCAGCCAAGATTTGAACCGTCTATGGCTGGCTTTAGGCTAATATCACCAAAGCACAACCCTGCCTAATAGATGCCACTCCCTTGCTCGCTGCAACACTCATTCACCAGCAAGGGTACAGTGGCTTCCCATTCTTATTTTACATAGTGGAGAATGTAATGGAAGGAGCTATCTATAATACATAAATTGTTTGTGTGGACAGGACCAGAGCCAGAATTAATGGCAGGTATATATTGCTGTTGAAGTATCCACGTCCTACAGTATATAAATCAGGAGCTGACTCCAACAGGCTCTATCTATAAATAAAAAATATCACTTGGTTGTATTGGCCTGTAAGCATTTCTCTGGTTCCAAGCCCCTCGGATATTATAGTACAATCAGCTAAATAAAATTGTCGTAAAATATCTCATAGCATAAACCATTTTGCAGCTTAAACAGTATAATTAATGTATAATTATTTATAAAATTGCACATTGAATTTGAGCAAAGGAGAAATTTTTAATTGGAAATTACATTTGAAATCCTTTCCATAATTCCATTACTATATCAAAGCAATTTTATCTTCTTTATAGAAATTATTAGCACATGCTTATCATCACTCATACAGAAATACTACAAGCTCCATTGTTTGTATTGACGTAGGAGACTGCGGAATGTTTAACATCAACAGCGCCAAGCTTGTCTGAATGAGCTTTGTGAAATAAATCACTATTCCTAATGACGTTGGTTGAGGAACCTCCAGGTGCCAGAAACCTAGGTTATTTTTACTTGTAGTGTAACCTAAAACTCGACAGTGTCTTTCTTTTTCCAGCAGTCTTAGGTCAGCACATGTCCAGGTGGCTGCAATCTATAAGAGGGGGGAGAGTTACCAGTGCCAGCTGTTCAGGGACCTTCTCAATTTTTATTCTTGTTGAAAACTGTTATATCTTTAGAAAAGCTACGGTAGCAGGTGTCTGGCTGGCTGATGGGGAGAGATCGTCTGTGTTGTGATCAATGCTGACCCAAGCTGGCACCTAGAAGACAATTCACACACAAAAAAAAATCCTGAAAATTAATCCAGACAAATCCTTCAATAAACAATGACTAAACTTTACAATTATCGCAATGTATTATTATTGTATGAAAGTATTTAATTAAAATCTTAGTAAATCCAGGAACTGTAAACTTGTTATTATACTGATGTAGTATTGCTATTGTAAATGTTAGAGAGCATGCAGGGTCTTTGGGTCCACCTTGACAAGTTCATACTCACTTGCCTAGACTCCATCGCTAATCCTTCTTATGTTACATCCAGAGAAAAATTGTCTGAAAGGAAGCATACAGTCAAGAAAGCTTGTGTCAGCGGTATATGGCCTACAGGATTTGTGTTATCTGAACCGATCACAAACCCTTTAATGGTGAGAAGCCAAAATCCAAGAGACCCCAATAAAGGGTACTGAATAGAGATCATCTATATAGTCATACAAACTTGTACAAATGCCCAAATTATAAAACATACAAAGACTGAGAGTGTACGAGCACCCTAGTATAATGCCGTTTTATTGTAATAAGGATTAAAAACCTTTTGGATTGCACTCACATTTTCATATAGGTATCAAGCAGGTCCATATGTAAAGTGATCCACAGCATGGTCCCTGGAAGATCTGAAGCCTCTGTGTGATCCACTGCTGACCACAACAGGCGAGGGCTACGCTGGAGGCACAGTTGGCATCCCTTCCCAACGCGCATGCGGCCTGTCCAGCCAAAGCCACGCTCCGTAGGCAGCTGGTAGCTCCGAGGAAGGGCAGACTGCAATGAACACGTCACGACCACGTTACGGTTGCTATAATGATGCATTTTGGAGGCGTGGCCTCCTTTGTCAAGTCACATCCACTCCCTCTTGTCAAAGGTTTTATAGAGAACCATGGCTCCTCCTGGCATTAGGATCTTAAGGGAACACGCCACCTATACAAAGCCTGTAAATAAAAACCAGCAGCCTTCCATCACCATTTGCCCTATTTTAGACAAAAGAACATATATACATCTCACTGCTTTTTATATAGACATGATAAGATAAACATTAATCTTATCATAAACATTAATATTACACAACTAGAATATAAAATTTATAAAATATAAAGTATAGTGTATAAAAGTAACTGTTGCTAGGAAGCCATGACGCTCATATATTATATGATATAATGAAAGGGGGGGCATAATTGTTATTTTTTTTATATATGTTTATAAATTTATAATAAGGTCTTAATCTCCAGTTCCTCATTCAGTCCTTCTGGGGACATGTCATTGAGAGTAAAAATCCAGAATCTTTCCCGTAAACAGAATTTGGAAAACCTCTCCCCCCTCTGGGACCGCCATGGAAATTTCTTCAATGCCAAAAAGTTCTAACCTATCTGTATTGCTTCCTGGACCTGTGAAAAATGTCAGGGAACACTATGTTTGTCCTTCTTCTGTTCTATGAAGCACCTATGTTCCCCAAACCTCGTGCGCATACTGTGCACGGTAGGGCCCACATAATACAGCCCACAAGGACACCTCAGTCCATAAACAGCAAACTGGACAAACAAATGAACTGCCTTATGTGGAATGTATGCCCATCATTTCTAGTGAAAGTGGACTTACCATGGGACATGAACTTACAATCTTTGCATTTTTGGGATTTGTACCTATATGACCCTATTATATTGAATAATGTAGGGATATCCTTTGCTCTACCAAATTATAAACAAATGATATAAAAAGTTTAACTTTACAATATAGTCTCTTAATCTCCTGCACACCAGAAATCAAGCTGAGAGTTGGAA